GGGCAAGTGTGAAGACCAAAACCCACCATGACTAAGGCCCTCGGGCTGGGTGGTCGCTTGTTTAGAACACCCCTTGGGGTGGGCAAGTGTAAAGACAGATTCCCCGCGACCAAGACCTTCGGGCTCGGTGAGAAGATACGAAGGCTAAAGCACCGAGATGAGCAGAATTTCAAAGCCCAGCGAATGAGCACCCAGTGAACGAGCACCAAGAAAAAGAGGTAAAGAGAGACGAAGTGGCGCAGGAAACCCATAATGTTTAAGGCCATGAGGCTGAATGGCCACATACTTCGACACCTCTGAAGGTGGGCAAGTGTTCAAAAATTTAAAACCCATCATGTTTAAGGCCATGAGGCTGGATGGTCGCATGCTTCGACCATCTCTGAAGGTGGGCATGTGTTCAAAAATTAAAAACCCATCATGTTTAAGGCCATAAGGCTGGATTGTCGCATGCTTCGACCACCTCTGAAGGTGGGCATGTGTTCAAAAATTTAAAACCCATCATGTTTAAGGCCATGAGGCTGGATGGTCGCATGCTTCGACCACCTCTGAAGGTGGGCATGTGTTCAAAAATTTAAAACCCATCATGTTTAAGGCCATGAGGCTGGATGGGTGCATGCTTCGACCACCTCTGAAGGTGGGCATGTGTTCAAAAATATAAAACCCATCATGTTTGAGGCCATGAGGCTGGATGTTCGCATGCTTCGACCAACTCTGAAGGTGGACATGTATTGAAAAATTTAAAACCCATCATGTTTAAGGCCATGAGGCCTGATGGTCGCATGCTTCGACCACCTCTGAAGGTGGGCATGTGTTCAAAAATTTAAAACCCATCATGTTTAAGGCCATGAGGCTGGATGGTCGCATGCTTCGACCACCTCTAAAGGTGGGCATATGATCAAAGATCTAAAATCAATCATGTTTTAAAAGGCAGAAAATGTGTTGACCCTATATGGAGGTTCATTTCAATTATCCCGCCGGAATGTTGTACGAGTGTACCAAATCAAAACATCACAAACATTATCAAAGGCATAAACAAAATCAAGCAAAACATTTACATTCCAAAAGATCACGGAAGATCGTCAATGTCCGTAGTTCAAATTCAAAAGAAATAAAGCTAAAAATACAAAGTTAATCTAAGGAGGAGGGGCTGCGGCCGAGTCGGCGTGGCTCGAGTTGGCATTTAGCTCAGGCGGATGGCTGGTCCTGGAAGTCGAGTCGCAAGCTTCATTTAGTGGGCGTTGTCGAATAGACTCAGCTAACACGGCCAACATGGGAGCTGGAGGGATCACGCCGTCGGGCAGAACATAAGTTTTCTTCAATACATCTGATTGAGCCAAGGTTCTCTCGAGTAGCCCTGACCACCACTCATGCTCGGGTGGCAAGTTAGGATCGTCCTGGAAGCTAAAAGAAACCTTGGGCAAGGCATCCCAGATAGCCCCAGGGTCGAGCTGCTCGAAATCGTCCTCAGCGATCTGCTCGCCGGCCTTTTGCAGGGCGAACTGGAAACAGTCTACCCCAAAGTCTTGGACCTCCTTCAAAAATTGGGGTGACTTCATAAATTCGGCCACCACTTGTACGCGGTACTCACGGAGGAAGAGCTGCCCAGTAGTCGTGCCCCACATCATTTGCCGAGCTAAAGAGCCACAGCATAAGTGTAGCGTTTGCATTGGCCAGCATGGGCAGCTCTCTCTTTGGCCAAGGTCGCCTCCAACTCGGCCCGATCAGCCTCTGCCTGAGTTCGAGCACTCTCCGCCTGAGCTCGAGCAGTCTCCGCTTGTGCCCGAGCAGCCCGCTCCTGCCCAAGCGCAGCTTCCTTCTCCTTCAGGCAGTTTCTTTCTCCGCCATAGACACCTCCTTTACCGCGAGGGCGGCCTCTCTCTCTGCGAGAGCTTTGTCCTTTTTC